TCCCTTTCTGAGATTGGCAACATTGATATTCTTCAAGAAGTCCAAGGTTTCTTCTGTTTTCTTCCTTCATTATGAAATGGTCTTTTAATACGCTGCACTACCCCAGACCATCACCGGCGCAGCTCCAACGACACGATGGAGCAACTTCACGTCTCTGTTTCCTTACGTGAAATGTATGAAGAAGGCCTTTTGGAGGATGGTCGCATCTTGAACGCTTTGTCTCTACCTTGCAGCACTTCATACAGCGGTCACCTTTACAGTCGTAAGGCACAATTTATCTCGTGTTTGCTAAAATGGTGATGTCTTTTAGGATTGTTTGAGTCACATACGAGCATTCGAACAGACGTCTGACCTACCTGAGGACATCTATACAGCGGAGTATCCTGTCTCGGTGACAAGTTTCTGGTTGGTTGCCAGAAAGGAGCCATTAGTTACATTCATCCAGATTGTTTTGGTGTCGGTACCATCATTGAGGTTCTTTGCAGGCGGAAGTTGTGGTACGTGTTTAAGCATGGTGGATGTAATAATAGACAGGACAGCCGTATCGATGAGTACATTAATGATTGGGCACCTGGATTTATTCCAGATCCAGAGGAATGGACTGCAGAGGTTGTCTTGCTTGAACCTGGTTCTGCCTTGTACGTCATCATGCCCTATCTGTCTTGAAATGCGCTAACACAGATGCAGCTACATGCATCCCAACACTCACCATGCAGTGGTGACCCTGGAGAATTCCATCGTAAAAGGTCACCATTTCTACTCCACGGTCACACTCTCGAAAACTGTCTTGGGCTGGGTTCATACCTGTATGCTCGGTTATACTATTACAAACATTTTGCATGTTGAGCTCCAGGAGGTTCTCCTTCGTATGATGTGCTACTTTGGTGCAGTGATCAGTGATCAAGGACCTGAAAGTAAGTAAAAATCTCGCAGTGACTGTCCTTCTGGTCCTGATAAATGGTATCAAGATCATGACACAGATATTCCCACCATGACAAGAGATGGACCTCTTGACTTCATTGCGTTAGGAAATCTCTGTCTATTTGCACCTGCCTTGTACGCCTGTGTCACTGAGACCGAGGGAGACTCGAAACCTGCAATTGCCATGGCAGCCGGCGCATACATATCCACAATACAGTGTTTGCAGATGAAATATTGTCTGGTTTTTCTCGATGATGACAAAGATGTTGCTGTGCAGTCCCCGGAATCAATGATGCGTGTCAATGACCGGGTCACCCTGAGTGTTGGGTCCCTGGATATCGCTGATTTTGCTAGGAGCTCTGCTGCTCATTTCAGGCGATTTGATTCTTTACGCTGAGACGGCTTTGCAAGCACAGAGGGCTTTAGGACAACATGAATCGGTCTTGTTCGATACTGAGATGTTTCAGCAAGATATTAAGGATGCCATGGAAACCTATTTGCAGATGGAGCTATCATCTGAGTTCCTCAAGGCTTACAAACGCCGGAAGAGGAAGGTTTTGCTCCTTAGGCCAATATTTTTGGTTCGGCAAAAGGCTGAAGTCCTACGTACGTGAGGTGGTTTCCTATCCTGACTGGTCTGACCTGTTGCATAGAATCTGATGCCCTGGAGGATTGGTCGGAAACCGTCGACTATGATTTGTCTGATGGTGAAGAAGAGGACCCTAAGGACGAAGAAGACTACCCCCCAACCAATGTTTCAAACATAAATGATGGGGATTCAAGTGGCATGGATATGACCGGGGATGATGATGATTCACAGGACAAGTCAGAATCGACATCAGAGAGAGATTCTAATGCTGGCTCAGAATACAGGCCTGGACTCTGAGTGTCTTTAATGAACAAAAGTATAAATACCTTGTCAAAAACATTGTGAATTGTTCTATGTGAAACGGTGTGATTGTATGTGATGTCTCAGTATATTGGTTGATGTTTGGTGATTGTGGTCTTAGCCGAAGGTGAAAGTTTCCCTATCAGATGTGCTCAGTTGTGTGAAATTTTTCTGTTCTGAGTGTGATTCCTTCACGGTTGCAGTGGGAAAGCTATGATTTGATCTTGAATCATTACATAATGATGTCCAAAACCTCCGAGTTTCCTCCGAGCTGTAGACGATGAAATGCCTAAGTGACTCGGGTTTCTTATCGGCTTTCCTCACCCTTGCGATAATCATTCCTTCCTCTCCGCTGCATGTCACTCGGTGCCTGTAAACATATCTTCGATTGTAAAGATGGAACTTGGTTGTAGTGGTGGAACTGCTCGACGTCCTCTTCGTCGTTTGGCGAAGGTAAAATGCTGGTTCTGCCATCGATGAAAATAGACATTACTCCATATCCTAGTAACACCATCGGCAAATCGGATATTATGTTCTAGGTATCCTTGTTACCATGTCGCCGGTCCCGTATACTTATTGGTCTTAACCTTGAAAGAAATGTTTTGTTACCCTTGCTCCCACAGGGGAGTCGAGAGTTTGTCTTAGGCATACAATGTACTATCTGCTGTATGGGTATCCAGGAAGCGTGATAGCTCTCTCAAAAGGATGGAAGGTCGGTGCACTGCCGACATCCGTAGGTCTTCTGAGATAATTGCCAGCATAGGATAGGGTTACAGCAGTTTTCATAAATATGCGGAATCCCTGTTTTGAAAAATCTGTGTGGTCCTATTTACACCCCATGTCGGCCTGGTAAGAGAAGCACTCATGATCAGCACTCAGCTTTGAGGCAATTTTATCGTCTTGCATTCAGAACGCGCATTTATATCCTATATTGATCTTATATCATTTGTTTTCTGGGGATAATTACCACTGGAATATATATGCCGACATAGTATGGTCAAATTACAGACTTGCAAATAAAGAATTGCCAGGAGTGAAGACAGTCATGGTCTGACAGACTGATATCAATACCGCTGTGGAGATGCAGAGTCCGACAATGGATGCATGTCAGCACCTCAGCATGGCATATCAGCCTATCTTGCAAAAGAATGTCACTGCAGTCTATGAGGCAAACATTAAATGGACCGAATCCAGGAGTTGAAGACTCAGATGTTGAATGTTGGTTCTCAAAGGTTTTGTCTCGCTCCTGCCTGCATAGTACATCGCAACCATATGATATGCCACAGGAGTTGGGTACAGCTGATAAATATCTTCTACACCTTTAGAAACCTGACAAGGGCATCGCAGAACAGATGGTACTGTTTCGGGGCATGGTAGTGGTGGAAAGAGAGAAGGCCGGGGCCCTGCGATCCAAATACAACCACATAACTTTTTCAGAACTGGAATTCCACATAATTATGAAAAGCGCTATAATGGGAGATTCAATGATGGCGATCAGTCTTTACATAATTCCGGTTCGGTAAGTACAGTCATCACCCGGTCTATTGTACAGGCAAATTTCTGCAACATTTTTAAGCTTCCCTCAGAATTCTTTCATTCTATAAAGCAATTCACATTATTTAGCATATGCTCAAGAGTATATATTATAATTTTGAGGTGATTCAATGGTGATTTGATGGTGTGGTGAAATTTTTTGTCCAAAGTCCCAAATTACCAGCTACCGGGACTTTTGTACACTGGATCCCATGCACCAAATTTGGGCCATGGTTTCCTGGTTTGGATGATTTTCTCACAGCTCTGACCAGTCGTTTCACCTATAACACCACAGCAACTGATCTTTGACCCATGGCCCCGCAGGACAATTTCATCCTTTTAACTTGAAAATCAATTTTAAGCGTTAATATATGCACCCCACTGCCTTCACCCTTTCTCTAAACCTATATTGGTGTTTTGCCAAAATTCATACTCTTCACTATTGATTTCTTCCTGACTGATACATGGACTCTTACCTTGATTTTTGTTAGCCATATGATAACCTATATGGTATTCCATCAAAAATAAAATTGAGGTTGTTTGAGAGTGAAATAAGAAGTTATATTGAAATGTACAAAGAAGTAGTGGTGTTCAATAGACTGTACCAGATGACGAAAGCCAAACGAAAAAGCACGTTGAAGTATATCCTATCTGAGTTGTCACACAAATTTTAACATCTTCCACATTTTTGATATCAGTGTGATGTATGACTGAATTTCCATAATAAAATGCAGGTCTGTGCAATGGCCTAATGGGTGCAAAGTATTGAAGTTAGGTGTATGAACTCAATCAAGCTTATTAATTGCACGATGTACACTATTACTGGCCCAAAAAATGACACATTTCTTCCAATGAATACAAAGAAAGTATTCAATTTTAAATATGGTGAGGGTTTATATAATGTTGTCTGAAAAACTACTAAAGGATCTTCTGCGCATATTGAATGCTTTAGTTTTGGAACAGTTAAGAATTAGTAGAGGAGCTCAATACTATAAAGTGAACATATGTAGGGAGTTCACAATTAACATAATACCGTTTCTAGTTGCATCAAATCATTTTCTCCCTTCACTTTAACCCCTCCTCTTCTACCTGTGTATGCTCCATATGTTTCTCCACGTTCTTTGCCCTTCTATAGAACTCCAAAATTAGAACAGAATGACAGTCATGTGGGCAATGATGTCAGATAGATCACAAAGATGTGGCAACATCTGATAACAATCTCTTTTCCATACTTCCACCAGCCCGCAAAATGACATCTGTTATTGGTGCGGATGCTCACTATTATGGATCAAGCACTTTTACCTTGCAAGCAACCCCTGCACGCCCAGAGGTTTTGAAAAGGGGGGCTTCCAAATCGCAGCCAGCTGACATCACAAAAGGCATGACTGATATGAAACAGAACCTACGAGACCTCACTCTTGTTCCAAAGGCTGCTGAAGCCTCCCCTCCCCCATCGCCATTTCATGATGCTCCTCTCGAGCTACGAGGCTGGCTGAAGGGTCGGATGATTGTCTTCCTGGTGAAGTGTATGAGAAAGTTCTTGACTCCGAAAGTCAGTCACGGATGGAGGAAAACTTTGAGAATGTATCTGAAGCAGTTCATGGTGGTAAGTACCTTTGCCATTTTATTTTATGGAGGACCTCACATTTTAGTTAGCTGGGAATTTCTCAAAGACAAAGTAATTGTTACAATTCCTTGTGTCACCCACGATTCCACACTAGATACTATTGCAGCAGCATTACATGCTAACTGGCATGCCACCATCGGATTGAGGATCCTAGCTGGCACTCATATCCCCTCTCTGAAGGCCATTGGAAAGGGCCAGATATTCTCATATTTGACCGGGGACTGAATTGGGAGGACCCAAAAATCTTCCAATCGATTACAACTGGCCGGTAGTCGTATTCGAGGTTGCTTACTCCGAGTCGAAACCCAGAGTCAAAAAGGATATCCTTAGACTCATGTTCGGCACACACGGCAGAGCACTGATGGGCATAGCCATCAAGTTGAAGTACAATGACGAAAGGCTCATCAGTGTCGAGATCTTCGTGTATTATTTCTCAGGAGAAGGCAACTTCTTTCCTGAAGAAGCGGAGCCATTTAGCGCCAGTGAAATCTATGTCAACCAGGACGGGAAATTGTATCCTATTTCAGAGAGGCACAAGGAAGACAAGTTGTTCCAAATGGTCTGTGCAGAAGTAAAAGGCAAAAGGCATTTTTATGAGTGCTCCTTGGCCAGTAATTGGATTGTAAGATTTTTTGTTGCTCCTGTGCTGTCCAATTGTTTATTTCTGGCCTCCAGATTGATGACAATCACCACAGTTCCAAAGAAGACCTCGTAATCCCACCCGATTTTTTGAAGCATGTACCTGATAGAACAAAAATGGTTATATCTGCTGACAGCCTCTGGTCCGATCTCAAAAAGGGATACCAAATGACCGGATACTTCAATTCGGTTTTCGAGCATTTCAAGAAAGATGGTATGCCTGGACGAGTTAAAAATCACCTGCAAACGACAGGGATTGCATGATGGGGATGTTCACAGGAGTGATGGAAGTGAAGAGCAGGTGAAGAAGAAGGGAAAGCACCATTAGTTCATCTTTAGTTTTTACACATTTGGAATTCTAGTGTAGTTATCTTCACGCAAATATCTTTTGTATATGTAACAGTCGCTGCAAATATGTTACCATGCCAATAATGTGATATCAGGAATTTGAGAATAGATGAAGCTTAAGTAGCAGTCGTCATTGTGGTCAAAAGGCTTCAAAGGTGTAAGCGCTGTAAACGTAGTAGGCAATCAGGCCGGGTATACACCGAGTTCGACTTTTCAATAAATCCTGCCTTTTCCTTACAGATGCATAAGGGTCCAGACTGTTCTTGAGTACACGGAACCTGTGTTTTCATCACGATTGCCAGACCCAAGGTACGAGGGTCCCGGCAACCCGACTATGACACAGGTCTCTGGCTTGTTGAGGCCCACCCCAAACCGGCTTTTTACTTGGGATATTGGTTGGACCTCTAAGTTGAAGGCAAAGCATTTTGATTATTTTATTAGAATTCTCCTACTTGTATGAGTTATGGTAATCTCTCTGGGGAGAGTGTAAGAGCAATGAAACAGAAGCTCCGTTCTCCCCAGGGTCTTATAAATATGATGAAAAGGGGTAGCTGATCATGTCAGTGTGAATCCCATGGAAGCAGGATGCGTTAAACCTCTGGTGCTGCCGATGCTCTGAACCGTGACTTCCTGTTGGGATTTGGCAACCCGGCATCATGCCGAAGTTGCTTATTAAGGTAGAAGTAGTAGGAAAAGCATGGAAAGTTCTAGTAAAATAGTATTTAGTATAAAAGTAGGTACTGTAGAGTAGATCCTCATGCATTTGCAGAGCTCAGCCAAGCGCAATACTATTGGCTTGCTACCGCACATGTAACACTGGGAACGGACCGATACCCCATTTTCCAACACTTCCAGGTAGCGAATATTTGATTATGCAAGGATCCCGGTCCTTCAAGCCAAGTACAGGGTAAGTCCTTATTCTGTGCTCTCGCGGCAATTAGACTTGCATAAAACAAGTTTTAAACCCATTATAAGTAGTCATATCCATAAGTTCAGTTTTACAGCAACAAGAAATATCTGGAGTCGAGATGTGGGTATCAATTGCTTCATTCAGATCATCCATACTTATCTCAATGATATTAGACTTAGGGATGATAAATTATAGTCATATGCAGCTTAGGAATGTGCACCATACTGTTACAGATACAACCGTAGCAATAGGGAGGGTCAGATGTGTGATTATGGGTCAATTCTGGATGGTTATGTATTCAATTATGGACTTGATTACAACGCCCATGACCGACACTGAATGAATGGTTTCAGCGGAAGGCTTCTGAAGAAGTCCAGCGCATGGTTGAAGGCATAATCGGCCCATAATCGCATAACTGACTCCGTAAATGACAAATTTATGAATTACTTGAATACAAGTATGCGATAGCAGAGCAAGATGGGATCTTTCCCAAGGAGAATAATCTCAAAGCGCTCTGTTGTCTCCATGAGTATCTTATCAGTGCTCTACAAAGCAGAGGAACGGCGGTGTGGTAAGACAGATGCGCCAGACGCGTGAAAGGTCCATGGGATATCTATATGGATAATAGAACTCCACGCAGGTTTTCGCAGAATCGCACTTCAAAACGGAACTGATGATGCATCAGTGTTGCTTGAATCATGGTGCATGCGACTGCCGTTTAGAGCTTTTCCGAACCATGAGGACCTCATTACCTTGCTGAAAAGCAAGGTCAACCCACAGTCATAAAGTTTCCTTTTCCGTCGTCTGCCAAAAGCAATTAAGTACAAATAGGTGGCTGTGCTCAATCCAGCAGTCCTCTTCCTACTCTCGCATCTGCCAAAACCAAACAAATACAATGTAGCCGTGCAGCATGTCAAGACTCAGTACTCAGTACTCAGCCATTTACCATCTCGACTCTATGCACCTGCAGCACTAGCTTCAAAAAGTCGCCTCGCACATTGAATATTGAACGTTTGAACCTGAACATCTGGGGAATTGCTTAAGAATTGGATCGTGAGCGACTAATACCTTCTCCATATTTTCCCTTGCTGATGCTCATGCGTCGCACTTTATAGTCTGTTCCACTTACGAGGACTAGTACTACTCGCTGTGCTGTCCTAGCACAATTAACACTGCATCTGTCCTTCTTGCCATCAACAAGAAGCACACTTTCTAACTTCGTCTCTGGACACTTGCAGAGGGAAAGTCTCCCTTTGGCATCCCATGCTCAATACACGAGAACATTGTACCCAACAAGATCATTATCACGTATATCAGCCCACAAGACAAGGATGGTACAAGCTTGTAAAAGGACCACAAGGTGATAGTCAAGGTACTAAAGGAGCTCATCCAGGGGGAAAATACAGGAAAATGTGAGGCAGAGTGGAAACTGAATGCTTTTCTGGCAGAGGGAATAGCCAAGGATGACCAGGACCGGAGCTAGGTGTGATCGCCTGGACCACCTATCTCATAAGCCTATATGGGAATGAGCTTGCCCATCTACTGTTCATGGTCCCGATGAAGCTTTCAGCCGCCATCGATATATTATATTCAGGTTTGCGCATGATGCACGCAGTCCAATATGATACTGGTGAGTACATCTGTTAGTGCTCTATGCCATTGATCCTATCGTTCACTAGATTCTGCTATTCTCTCCTCCCACTTGCACGTATCCACCACACCATGACAAAATCAACATCAACCCCGACCCAACGACCCATCCCCACGACCCTCCTTCAGTCGGACATTCCCTTCCGATATTGCGTCATCCCCTACCACTCAACGACATCTACCTGTTCCCGCTGCGCTGGTCTTTCAATGGCTAGTAACATGCGTTGTTGGAAAGTAGAAGAGGACGTTGCCTCCTGTCTGGTGCGAGGAGGGAGTGAGTATGCCTGGAGACTGCGAAATATGACCCCACCCCATCCTGGTGTGTAGGTGTCCGAGTTTTGGCTGGAGACAATGGATCGTCTTCCGGCAAGCAAGACGTCTGCGCCTAGAATGTATTCAAAACCGGTGAACACACCCACGGAAACTTCACATAGGGTAGGGACGGCAGGTAGTCTTAGGAGGGACTGGTTTTACCTCGACGCCATGTATTGACGTCGGCAAGCGAGAGCATGGCGTCGGGGTATTGCTGTGGATACAAGGAGTATAGGGCTAGGGTAAACTGGACATAGTACGCAGTCGCACGATGTCGACTGTCTTCGTTACTGATTGAGATCCTTTGCATCTAGCTGTTATTGTACACCTGCACCCAGCCTCTCCCTGGATGACGACTTTTGCGGACATGACGTATCGACATCTGGCGAAGAGCACGGTGTCGTGACACCGGTCGGAATTTTGGAATAGATTATGGGTCTGAGTTCAGGGACTCTTATTAGAGATGGTTTGGCACTATGCAGTGTGGATTTTTCAATGTACAAATGATCTGCGAGGTATACGACTGGTATATCGGTGTTCAAAGAAGCAGATGTGCCATGCAAACACTTTGTAACATATTGGTATGACTTACGTAGATCAACCCAACGAGGAATTGTCGCTTTCAGTGTTTCCTTACATGTTTTGAGTCGGGAGCATTGCCAATGAAAAGGTCGACTCGAAAGAGACAGCAATAGGGTTCAAGGACAAGATTCAGCAAGGTCGTACTCGCCTCGGCACGCAGCAGGCACTTGTTCTCAAATGCCATCATACCGTTCTTGGCGGTCATGACCTCCATTTTGCTTCTAAACACATCCATTCATAAGACGTTGACACTGTGATTCAGAATCCTGTACAGTCTCTCAACAAGACAAGGCTATTCAGGAGAGAAGCGAGCGAGGACCGAGACACGAACCATGCAGGAATGAGACCTCAACTGCACATCTCTGAAGCATCAATCAAGGCATCGACGGTTTGCCCTCGTGTGTTCTCTATCTTGCCGAAATGCTGAAACCAACCTGTAGATATCCTTGACATTCGAACATCCTGATGTAGCCCGGATTGCTCGGTTCTTCTATCCTCAGGGGCAAAATGCAAGCTGGCAGCAGAGCGCATTTTGCTGTTCATTTAAGTGCTTCCACAAAATTTCATCTGCCAATTTCAGGTAACCCATCTCAGTCATCTGAATGAAAGAAATGCACGAAAAACCCTTACACTATGTAGATACAAGTGTATTGTCCATGGATAAGCAGATTTCACAAACCCAGCAAGGTCCCACATGCCCCGGACTGCGGCGGGCACTTGTATATATAGATCACTTCAATGCATTAAGAATAATATCCGATGACTAAGCAAGTCATCTGAGGGGCGGATGCTCCATTCCAAATACGTGTCGGCCATCGAGGACGGGATCAACACAAGCGTAAAGTTCAGCCATTTTATAAAGAGTAAAGCTTTTCAAATATATACTGATTGTTTCCACTTGGGGCAGTTTGTGTTATCATACGAGTAGTATATTTGTCTGTCGGTGCGGGTTATTACAGGGAACACCTAGAAAGGTCGCTATATCATTATACCACAAGGAATAGACAGAATTGTTTTTACAAGGTGATTGAAATTAAAATAGAAAGCCAACAAGGAGGTTGATTAACAAGTAGAATAATTGAATGCATTGGTAGGCGAAGCATGATAGAGTGGATATAAATATGAACGAGAACTAACGTTGAACCACTGGCATGGCTGGAAAAAGTCTTTAGATTTCCACTAGACACCCACATGAAGAACTGGGATGGAAGAAGACGTCATAGGAAGCAGGAGGGTACTAATATGACGGGCAAAAGTCATCTGGTAGATTGTGAGAAAATTTTTGTCAGACATATCAAGATTCAGGATGATATTGTGGCCCCAAAATTTAATTCCATGTGCAGTCGGCATGCGCAAACGGATCATGATGTTCAATGTTCAACACAGCCAGACTTATAACCGTCATGTAACCCTCAACACACTCGTCATCTTCCTTATGCAAGGGGGCGATTTATCACCCAGCGATTAGCTGACTTCGATGTACTAAAAATAGATCATGATGACTAAGAAGGTCATCGAGCCCGATGCTCCATTCCAAATACATTCGGCCATCGAGGACAGGATCAAAGCAAGCTCAAGTTCCACCTTTTTATAAGCAGTAAAGGTTTGGATATATGCTGCTAGTTTTAACATATTTGCATCGATCGGTGCCGGTTGTTTCAATGAAAACTAGAAAGTTCTTTATATCTAAAAGACGAGGAAAGAAGTGGGACATACTGGGAAGACAAACTTCGCATTTTGGAGGATCTAATCACATGCCTATCCGCTAGAGATGAGAATACAGCAAATTTTATGTAAAATTTCTGCCAAGATCGACCTCCGAAAACGTTACCTTATCATGCGGCATTCAGTTTTCCCTCAAGTTCTCATTTGTCCAGGTGTGACAGTGGGGAATAGCAGGAAATGTTTTGCATGCCGATTGAAATGAAAATGAAAGTGAAAAGAGGAGGCCGATTAGAGGCACAGAATAATTGAATGCAAAGGTAGGCCAAGTGTGTAGAGTGTATACAAATAATGAACGAGAGCTAACTGTGAAACGCTGGCAAAGGATGGCTGCCTAGCATCTGTGGAATCGCGCTTGACTCCGAAACGGCGGAACTGGAATGGAACATGGTCCTCAGACTCCCAGGGAGGTACTAAGATTCAGGGCGAAAGGCATCTTGTAGAGTGGGAGAAAACTTATTTCGAAGAATCAAGATTAGGGATGCACATCATTTTGTGGGAAACATGAGAAACTCTTGTGGCTGACTCCAGCAACTTCGAATCGTCCATTCCCATGGTGATCATTTCTTTTCACTACCAGCATGTTACAAGAACTACACCACTCTGTGAATGCAGCCGACCTTAGTGAGTGTCTTCTTCAAATCCACAGCAGGCAGACACGTGGAAAACTTGCTTTATTCATGCTTCTGACATATTTTCTTGGAACAGCGGGATACGAAGCAGCAAAAAAGGCCGAAACCAGGGAATGGCTCAAGAACAGCAGAGCTCGTTGGATTGAAAAGGGTGGTCGCAAGGAGAAGCCTTTACAATGGGGAAGGGGCAACTCTTGTCCTCCCCGACAGTTAAGCATCGGCAAAAAGTCTGGTCGAAGTCTCCTCTTCCCAATATTCGCCTGGAAGGCCAGCATTCCCGCCTGACTCGATTTCGAAGATGTGCCAGCTCCTGAGTGATCAAGTGATGCAATGGGGTCGGAAGAAATATCCAACCTGCACATTCCGACCGGAATGGCAGCGAATAAGTTGCCCTGTCTACCAGCTCCCAATCATCGATGTCAACTGGTTAACAAGCATTCATGTACCAGACATTCGTGGGGGCTAGCAAAGTCTGCCTTCAATAGACCCAAACCTCCTAGTGTCCGGTCAACAAGGCGATTTCCGCCGTCTCCCAGAAAGGAAGCGGTCTCGGTCTGAGACCTCTTCCTCTATACACAATGTGTTGAAGAAAGCGAAATTTGATCCACATTTCTCCTTTTCTCCGACCAGAATCCTCTTACCGGAGGTTTGGGTTCCTCGAACAAATTTCCTGCGTCACCTTTGAATACTTTCCGCTTGTGTCCAATGTAGGTTAACCAACCACTTTCTTGTCTCATTGCCTGATTAAAATCTAGCCTGAAGAGCAAGGAAAGCTTGCACTTTTCGAAGCTTGCTACAGGATCCCAACCTGGCTGGATCCAGTCATCCTGTCGATGAAATTCAACGAGGCATTCGAAAATCCTTCTCAGACAATGATGGCTTTCAAGAATGCTAACTTTCACCTATATGATACTCGGGCCTATCCACTGGATTGGTCTTTGAGGTCTCTATCAGAAATTGGTGATATTGACCAAGTTCACGTCTTGGAAGGTGCGGGTTTTCTTTTTCATGGAAAAATGTATCCTAATGTGGACTGTAGGGCATCGACGCTCATGTGAGAACAGTATGACCATCAAGATGTCTCTATGATGGAGGGATTGAAGAAGGGGGTCGCATTTTCAACTTTCTCTCTCTGCCTGGTCATGATTCTCCCATCAACCACCCTTTACATTCGTAAGCTGGCATTTTTTCCTAAGGTTTTTCTAGTGCACTTTAACTTCATTAGTATCTTGTCGAGCCACATCCGTGCCTTCGACAATACGTCCGATCCGGCCGATGAAATTTACAAAAGGGAATATCCGGCCTTGGCAACGAGCTTCTGGTTTGTGGCAAGGAAAGGGGCTACCACCGAGGTTGGGACAGACAGTCTTGGCGTCACTACTGTCATCGAAGTCCTTTGCAGGTGCCAGATGTGGTATGTTTTCCGACATCGAGAGCCCCGGTCCAGGGTGAATGGGAACCTGGATTTATTCCGGACGCCGAATTCTGGACTGCAGAGATTGTCCTGCTTGAACCAGGTTCTGTGTTGTATGTCATGCCTTATCTCTCTTGAAATGTGCTGACACAGATGCAGCTACATGCGTCCCAACACTCATCACACAGTGGTTACCTGGAGAACTCCATCATAAAAGGTCACCATTTCTACTCCACGGTCACATTATCAAGAACTGTCTGGGGCTGGGTTCATACCTGTATGTTTGGAGACATGGGAGGTCTTCCACTCTTTGAACTACAGCACATTCTCCTTCGGATGATGATTTACTTTGGTGTTCTGGTTGGTGACGAAGGGCCCGAATGTAAGTAAAAATATGGTGACTCTCCTTTTTGGCCTAACATTTCACAGGCAAAGACTCCCACTTCCCGGGGCTAAATAATCGTGGCATGCTGAATTTTATTGCATTGGGAAACTTTTGTTTATTTCTCCCTGCCTTCAATTCTGGCCCTTTCAAGCGCAATGAGGAGGTCACAGTCACCCGTAAGGCAATCAGGGCCTATCTTTCCATCATCCAGCGGCTAAGGGACCATCACTGTTTACTTCTCCTCGACGAACATACCTTCGTCAATTTGCACCCGTTGTCTGCGGTCAGGCAGTTGGACATTGCTGACTTTGCCAGAACATCTGCTGTTCAATTTGCTCATTCACTCATCCTAGAGGGCAGGAGGGCATTTGGCTTGACAGCCTCCATGTTTGAACTGACCGTCAGGGAATGCTTGCCAATTTTCTTGAACATCGACCCAAACTTCTTCAAGATTGACGAGCGTCGGAGGGAAAGCTTGCTACTTACAAGGAGAACTTTTTGGTACAGGAACAGTCAGCGGAAGTTGGTAAGTTGATATTCTGGCCTCAAATTCTTCCTCTGATCAATTTGTCAACCAAGATGTGCATGTGGTGAGTGACATAAAGTTCGCTCTGTGAGGACAAATGGGTGGTCCTGGTTGAAAAAAATATGTCTTCGTGCCTAAAGATTGCTACATATTGAATCATTAATAAATATCTTGTGTTTTCCATGTTGAGCCTGCTGCCAACCTCTGAAGCATTTGGTAGGGGGTCTTGCTAAGCTTTCCTCCTGTGAGTGGAGAAAAATTTGCGTCACATTGCGACATTAGAGATCACTCAGTGGCAATAGTAAAAGTTCAACTTACACTTTCATGGTCGGCATTTAAAAGAGCCTTTAATCCGCATTCGGCTGTAGTATGACATCATTGTCACCGTCTCATCTCCGTCGCCGACTTTGACTCTCCTAATGCGTCTTCGAGAAGAAACACTAGACAATCGCTACCCACATTGTCTGCTGTTATGGGTGTCATAGGCAGTCATGGCATTGAGCTGAACACAGGAAAACTGGCATCTATCTGTCGAACCTCACTGCTCGCAACAAACAGGCTTCCTCATCTAAAGCATCCCTCAACAACTTGTCGGCGCCCAACCTATGGTTTTACAGAATAAGCAGACAGTGGTCCAAGGACTTCTATCTGATCTTTTACACGCGAGCACTGCCAGACCCTCCCAATATTACACGTAGTATGTCTTTGGGGCACCTGTAGACCAATTTAGTTTCTAATGCTTTCTGTTACAGCAATCGTCGATGCGGATTCTGGAGATCTTACACCGTGGACCTTGACAGACTCTCATGTCGGAAATCCTTTACAAGTGAAGGCAAACGGATGTGGGTGTGCTATTTTTCAGCTATGGTCATATTGTGATGATACGTCTGGTAATGTGTCCATTATTTATGCCTGCTGCACTCTTGCGAACATATCCATTTTCGTGTAATTCCCCCCTATCAGACTAATTTTATCTAGGTCAAACCAATTCTGCAGATCTTGTGCGGCTTTTGCGTGAGGTCCACCAGCGGAAGTAGAACAACAACAGCCCCAAAATTCCCCAAGCAAAACTGAACAGGACCCTATTGACCTGTGGGCCAGGGTAAAGTCCAAAAATCAGAAACGCTCCTATAAAGAATACAGTCCTACAGGCAGTCAAGTTAGGTCAATCAGTATTCAAATGTAGATGACACACCCCCAATATAAACAAGCAAAAGGCAAGCTATATGCTATAGCCATATTGTCGAACCTACCGGAGGCATCTCAGAACCCGTTCATGAGTTGACACTAAGATAAGTTTGTCAATGGGCAAAAGTGGATAACAAATTGGATGAACCGCCTCCACGTATGATACTCGCAAGACTTCTTGGTTCTTCCTTTGCAGTAAAAAGGCAGACATGATGCTTCCGAGAGAAGCAACTACAGAGAAATACAGGAATGTTTTGATCCAAGACGTATTAGGCCCGGCATCTATGGATTGTATGGTGAAGATGCCAATGTCTAATGCCACCAACACTGTAGACTTCGGCAAGTGTTAAGTTCTATCAGAACATGTGGCCTGGACCACTTATGTAGACAGTAAGGTTGGAACAGGTCTTTTGAACACCTGTAGAGAAAAATTTCCATGCTCGGCATGAGACAATCCCATCACATGCCATGAATTCAATCTCCTGTCGGTGTCTTCGTGGTGCATGAAATAACAGCAGACTGACGAAACGAAACATTCGAGATTCTGCCCCGAGTTTTTCGTGGTGATAGATTGAGACGCCTCGGTCCATTCGAACGGCTGGCTCGCCGTGAAAGTTGGCGAATTTTTCTTCGCCTGTGAGAAGAATATTAGTATTGTATTAAAGTGAATGGGCGGGCTTACAAAAATGTTTCATTAAGATAAACATGATGCGACGTTGTCCGGGTGCATTTGGGATATCACTAATATTGGAGGGCAAGAGTTCTAGCATAGTTTTTAACTCGTCTCACCCATAAGATGCTGTCGACGTTGGGGAAACCAAACCATCTGGCCTACATTTACTTCTGTGCAAAAGTATATGGCTTTATGTACTAACCTCCAATACCGTGGATGATCATATCCCTCAGTTCATCCAGAACATATTGTGTTGTACATGAGACCAAAGGGAACAAAGATCGGTGATGCCTGGGATAAGACCAGATGAGATACAACAAATGTGAAAGATACTCAAATACCAATACTGTGCTTCGACTGCGTATGCTTGGATGTCATTTAATACTTGAAGTGTAAAGCACAAAGAAAAACAATACCAATATGAGCCTCCGATGTGACGCCCTTCATGTTGTACCACATCCTTTCCGATGGCTTGACATCTTCAAGCCAAAATATAACCCTACTTTGATGGTAGGCAAGATAATATTTGCAGAGCTGAGTACCTGAACCATCAGGAACAATATCGAGCACCAGGTCAACATCTTCAGCGCGAAACATTGGCTGGGGATGGCATGGAGTGTTAAGCAGGGAAAGAAGGCTTTGCAAGAAGTTATCGACGCTTTTTAATGTTTGTGGGTGTTGGATATTCATGTCGGTAACAACCGTCCAATGCTAGTCCTGTGACTCAGGGTCTACATGTTCGAAGAGGGGAACTCACGACTTGTTTAAGAATGTAATAGCGTGCGCCTTCGGGATGTACATAACTCCTCCAAGGAGTCGAGGAAGGTCTGGAAACTTTAACTTTGTTGAGAAGCTGTATTGAATACAATTCACGAACCCGGCGTAGGAGAGCTTTCCCCTTGGTATATTATTGTATTCAATATCACGTAGTAACCTGAACATCACACATAAGCAAGACGCCAATACGTGGTGGAGAACACTTTACATTTTAACTCCTTGTTTATACCTGAGGTACTGTATAGGAAGGATCGGAATTAACGTTGGGTGTGAAGTGAAATGAACAGACATTGGAATATCTGGCTTATGTGGTTCCGAAAACAAAATTTTCACCTGTGTATTAGTATTTGCAGCAGATGATTATATCATCAGAACTGACCACTTCGATGACCGGAAATGTCTGCGGCGAAATTAAATGTCCGAGAGGGTGTAATGGGAGCTCCTTTTTAGAATGTCACATCACAGAATACGTAAGCAAGAGAGCATCGAGCTCGAGTTCAGTGCCTACGGGAAATGAAGAGATTCATTATTACACAACGTATGTCCTTTTTATTTCTGGACCTCTTTTTCATTTTCATATGTTCTTCCCTGAAGGACTGAAGCACAATTTTTACTCAGTGCCATTGAAAGATGTAGCGCAGAATAAGGAATGTTGGGCGCTTCAAAGTACGATTTGGATATCGCTGTGTACGAGCAAGGCCCTTAAGTTATCCCTACGTTAAACCCTCCACTGCTTTACCCTGCTTCAGGTCGGTTTCCGAGGTGCTTTGTGATCACGGAACAGGTATATTTAAAATTGAGTGAGATCAGTGAACGGATGTGCTCACTTTGTCCTTTTTCGCCGTTTCAAAGAGTCAAATATTTTCTTCAACGATCTTTTTGGCATCTTCAGATACCGCCGTAGCTTCCTCCTACAAGTGGATACCTTTCAACTTCAGAGAACATAGCTGTTAAAACGTAGGACTGACTCATAAATGAGGAAGGGAGTGGTCTCGGAGCGTTCCAGCCAGCAAATTGGTCCAACGTCCGAGCCCATTTCTATTGTTTTCCTTGAATGTGGAGACGGTGTATGACGAAAGATTTTTAATGATTGGGAATTGTTTTGGGAAAGATGTTCGAAAGAAGTTTAAGCGGGCGCATTTGGCACAGATTTGTGCGGAACCGGCCAGAACAATATTGTATGTGTTAAAGATATCGGTGTCAAGATTCACTAAGCGAAGGGGATTGCAATGGCACCCACTGCCTGACAAAAGTACTCACGCTTGTTAAACTCAATTGATTGATTTCCCATATTGATGTACAAAAGCTTATCTTTTGGACAAATGATGCAGGGAAGTCAAATGGCGAGTGCGGTACTTTCAGCTGCCCCATTTGTTGACAGGAATGCTCTCTCCGAGGTATTAGCCCTCTTAAATCGTTACGATTCTCAAGTAGCAAAGGATATTGTCAGATTTGGAGTTAAATTGGGATGATCTTTCTGGGCATGTGGCTAAGACTCTACCATCTTCCAAAGTCCCGGAAGAGAGCAATCATTATTGGATGTGACGTCCGAAAGATGATCGGGACAAAGAAATGTCCGTTGGTCCTTGCCTGCTGGACTGGTAATTAAGTCAAGCTAAGACCCTCCAAATGTTGGGTATTTTTGGATATTCAAATATGGGAGTCATTTCTGAGGCTAGGTAGACGTCTGTTTTCACATACAACATTGTGGCACGTATTGTCAACCTGCGTTTTCCTTCCCACTTGTAGAATTGAAATGCACCCCATCTGGAACCTGTCATGCATGGAATCTAGGTGAAGCCCGTCTGTCAAAGTCAAAAAGGATACGTTGTCAAGGCTGCCCTGCATGCATGAGTCGGTATTCTCTACCGCCGTTTCTCTGTCGAATCTTCTACCGAGTTCTATGTAATGGCGCTCCGCCCCCAAGTGGATGAGATGATGATAATGTCACGTTTAATGTGTCCTAAGGCTCTCTTGCGCTGTATGCTACTACGTGGGTGTATCTAAGTGTATGTTTTCTATAAACATTTTTATAGAGCTATACCGACCATCTTTACCCCTATAGATACAGGCAACCGCACCAGAATATTTCAATGTGGCTCAATACTTAATCTACAGATCAATAGAATGGAAAGATTTTCAAGAGTATAATATTCACTGTGCATGTACAAAGCAGATATATCTAATACGTCTCTACTATGTACTCTCCTCTCCGACGTAAGGAACATTGGCGGCAAGCATTGTGCTAGAACGTGAACGGAAGGTTTACTTGCGTATCAAGCTCAATTTTGACATATCATCTAGCATAGCATAAGTACAGGTTACTTGTTGCAAGATGCCAGCTCACATTGGGACTCATAAAGCACAAGAGCAGAAGGGAAGGTAAACGAAAGGGTAACAGAAAAACATACCTGCCAACCAACTCACTAGTTGACTAGTAACCAAAGCCTCGGAGAGCGAAACAAGCCACACTGTTCCTGCGGTAGGCAAGATCAACATTAACTCTACAAGGAGAGATGTGATACGCACCAAGACCGTCCCATCTGGCCTTATCGCGAGACTAGGGTTGACTGCTGTCACAATAACCTGCACATGGTATCAGTAAGCTGAGAAAACGGGAAAGGATGTTCAATTGCGCACTTCGTTACCAATGTCTCCTGCTATCTGTTACCCTAAGCTCTTTAGGTATTCCATGGATCCATGCAACTCCCAAGGTCCAGCCCAAGTTTGTGTAGCAGAAGTAAATAGCAGATGTATGAAGACGGGCAGAGAGAAGAGAGGGGAGACTCCTGCATAGCTCTGGATTTGAGATGTTAAAATGATGTCGTCCAATATCAATGAGGGTCGCGTGATGAGATCCTACAGATATCTTATGTAGCAGATAGCTTGGAAGAATAGTAAAATGGAGTTACCAAAGTACCACACTGTACCGATGGGAGGACAATGAAGGGACGGCATGGAAGAAGTGAGAGTTGAAGAGCAATGATTAAAATGAAAAACTGCGACAAGTTCAACGTACACGTGACCCTATGGCATGATTACACAGACCACTTCTATTTCGGGAACATACTTGATGCTCTTGACTCAAAATTGTTGTTTCGCCTTTTGTACATCCTCAGCTATATAATCCTAGCTCTTGACTAACACTCTCCTGGACTTAGACTGACATATTTATATAAATTTGATGTTTATAGATGTATAATGGTATAGGCTGTCAGTGCACACAAAATCCCCTATACCACCTTATACCCTCTACATGAATGTGAAATTGCTGATGACCGATGGCCGAGACACAGCCAGGATCCTTTGCCAGGTAATACTTGCATAGCCTATATCTGAAGTGCACCGAAACGGACACCGGACCATAAAAAGGATGTCAATCTGAAACAAATTGGGAAA